CATCCTGGGCAACTTGGCGAGACCTCATCTCTACAATAAATCAAAAAATTAGCTGGGTGTGGTGGCACGTGCCTGTAGTTCCGGCTACTTGGAAGACTGAGCCCAGCAGGTTGAGGCTGCAGTATCTGTAAGTGTGCTCCTGCACTCCAGTATGGGTGACAGAGTGAGAGCTCAACTCAAACACACACATACACACACACACACACACACACACACACACACACACACACACACACACCCAAAACCTACCTCCGGGAGGCAGCTGGATGGGGTGGTGGTGTAGGTGTTACCTCCTCACACACCGCATGGCTGTGATGATATTGCCATATCTTTACATAATTCTTGGTGGGTGCCTTTCCCCACCCCAGTTGGTTGGTCAGATGTGGGCACCTGACCCATGTTAAGCCTATCAAAATCCTTTCCTAGAGTTATTGCTACTGGAAATGAGAAAAAACTAAGGCCCTTTCTGAGGAATGTGAGGCTTGGGAACTGTTGGCTTCTGTGTTTTCTGTCTGGTAGAAGAGTTAGGTCTGCCCTGAGAACCTGACTATTGTGGAGAGAGGGAGTGGGAGGGAAAGGGGAGGTAGAGGGCTGGCAGTCATAGGGTGGGAACAGCTGGCCCCAGTTTTGTGATACCAGCTGCACTCCTGATCTTCCATAATTAGGATGACCATCTCTTCCTTGAGTTTTGTGAGCTAATACACTTCCATTTTGCTGAAGAGATTTCAAATTTGTATTTATTGTGGTCATGCATTGCTTAACAACGGGGCAGCATTCTGAGAAACGTACTGTTAGGTGATTTTGTAGTTTTGTGAACATCATAGAGTGTACTTACTCAAACCTTGATCACACAGCCTATGACACAGCTAGGCTATGTGGTATAGCCATTGCTCCTAGGCTACAAACCTGTATAGCATGTGACTGGACTGAAACTGTAGACAGCTGTAACACAATGGTATCTGTGTATCTAACCATATTAAACATAGAAAAGGTACAATAAAAAATATAAAAAGTGGTACACCTGTATAGGGCATCTCCCACAAATGGATCCTTCAGGACTGGCAGTTGCTCCAGGTGAGTCAGTGAGTGAATATGAAGGCCTAGGACATTCCTGCTAGTCTACACTTCTGTAGACTTTAGAAACATTGTATGTTTAGGCTATGCTAAATTTATAAAAAAATACTTTTATTTCTTTAACATTAAATTATTAGCTTACTGTGACATTTTTTACTTTAGAGACTTTTAATTTGTAAATGTTCTAACTCTTTTGTAATCCAGCTTAGTTTAAAACAAAACATTGAACATCTGTACAAAAATATTTTCGTTATATACTTCTATGTGATTTTTTTCTATTTTTAGCATTTTTAAACTTTTTTTTGGATAAAAATTAAGACAAAAACACACACATTAGCTTAGGCCTGCACAGAGTCAGGACGATCAACATCACAGTCTTCCACCTCTACATCCTGTCCCCCTGGAAGGTCTTCAGGGGCAATAACATGCATGGAGATGCCACCTCCTATGATAACGATGCCTTCTTCTGGAACACCTCCTGAAGGACCTGCCTGAGGCTGTTCTACAGTTAATTATTTTTAATAAGTAGAAGAAATACACTCTAAAATAACAACAAAAAAATGGGACAGTAAATACACAAACCGGTAACATAGTTCATTATCAAGTATCATGTACTGTACCTAATTGTATGTACTAGACTTTTATATAACTGGTAACGCAGTAGGGTTGTTTACACCACATCACCACAAACATGTGAATAACATATTACATTACGGAGACATTGTATTGTATTAAGATGGTTGAGATGTTACTAGGTAATAGAAAATTTTCAGCTTCTTTATATTTTTATGGAATCACAGTGGTATCTGTGGTCTGTCATATACTAAAATGTTGTTATTTGGTGCAGGACTTATGAGAAAGTCCTGGCTAACATAGATGGACCAAAGAAGCCACATTTTTATCTTGTCTCTCTCTCTCTCTCTCTCTCACTACATATACGTGTGTGTATCTCTATATAAATATATATATAATTCATAGACTCTGAAAACACACACAAACATAAACATATATACACTATATATGTTTATACTATATATGGATATACACACATGCTTTTTTTTTCTGACTCATTTGGAGTACATTGCCCTTTACCCCTAAATCCTCAATTTGCTCCTAAAAACAAAAACATTCATTTAAATGTCCACAGCACAATGATCAAAATCAGAAATTCAACATTGATACAATACTATCATCTTGTAATTCATCTTGCTTAAATAGTTATCATTGTCCCAGTAATGTAGTAATCCACTGTGTAGTAAGATTAAGAACCACTGAGTCGAAGTCAGTGGTCTCAGTCCTGGCTGTACAATAGAATCATCTGGGGTGGAGAGGGACTTTAAAAAAATACAGATAACTAGGTCCTGCCTCTAGACACTGAGTTTACTGGTCAGAGTGTGTGTGTGTGGGTGTGCCACTAGACATTTTTTACAAACACTAGGTTACTCTGATATGCAGTTAATGTGGAAACCATTGATCTGAAGCTAACAAGTCATTTCCTTTCATTTATTTCTCATTTGTCAGTGCTTAGTTCTGAGTGGGTGTACTGGATTACAGAATGTCCCCCAAAAGTTTATGTTCACCTGGAAGATCAGAATATGACCTTATTTGAAGATAGGGTCTTTGGGCCAGGCGCAGTGGCTCATGCCTGTAATCCCTGCACTTTGGGAGGCCAAGACCAGTCTGGGCAACTCAGGGAGTCCTCACCTATACAATAAATACATAAAAGAAAATTAGCTGGGTGTGGTGGTACGTGCCTGAAGTCCCAACTATTTGGAAGCCTGAGGTGGAAGGATCCCCTGAGTCCAGTAGGTTGAGGCTTCAGTGGCATGCCACTGCTCTCCAGCCTGGGCACCAGAGTGAGACTCCCACTTGGGGAAAAAAAAAATAGGGTCTTTGCACACATAATCAAGTTGGGAGGAGTCACATTGGATGATGGTAGATTATTTAACCCCCAGAGATCTTGAACTTGAAATTCTGATGTCGTAGGGCTTTGGCTGCCTCCCTGGAGGAGTAGCGAGGGTACTTTGCCTGGGGAAGGGAGAGGTGACCAAAGGGGCAGTTTTAGTAGTCAGGAGTGCTGCTCACAGATGATCTGGGGTGCTGGCATCTTGGGCATGTCCAGGATGGTACTTTTCTTCATCCATAGAGTCAGGAATTTGTCCAGTGAATTGTGAGTAGAAGTTAGTGTGTCCCTTCTTGCTGGAAGCTTTAAGAGTCTGTGTGGCCACATAATGGTGGCTGCTCTGTCATCTCGAATCTGGAGTGAGAGGATATGGAGCAAAATACCCAAGGTAGCATGAGAGAAGAGTAAATTCTTGTCCTTTTAAACCTTATGATTTGGGAGTTGTTTGTGACACAAGAGTACGTGGAGTCATTCTGGGGTGGTTTGTTACCACTATCCTGCCCTGACTGATACAGAAGGAAACACTCCCCTTCTGCTTGGCACATAGAGGTGCTTGGAGCTGCAGCATTCATCTTAAGACTGGGAGGAGACGAGTGAAGGCATGATGAAGATATCACCCTGGGAAAGAATGGTGGATGGTGGAGAGAAAGAAAGCCTGGGTTCCTGGGGTAGGGCCATAGAATCAGCCTTTGGGACACTCCCACCTCCAGGCTTTCCTTTATGTGAGGAAACAAAGCTCTTATTCATCGTGTGTGGTTGGATGTTATTCCTTGTAGCTGTATGGGTGTGATAGACTCATGGCCAAAGATGTTTATCTTTTAATTCCTGGACCCTGAGAATGTGATGTCTTATGTGGCAACAGGGCCATTGCTGAATAAGGATCTTGTGATAAGATTATCCTACATTATCTGGATGGACCCAAGATCTTTGAAAAGGGAGGCAGGAAGGCCAAAGTCAACAGAAGATAGGCCAGTGGAAGCAGAGAGTGAAGCCATGCACTTTGAAGCCAGAGGCAGGGGCCAGGAGCCAAGAAGGGCATACAGCCTCAGAAATCGAAAAAACAAGAAAACATTTCCCCCCGAATCCCTCAAAAGGAATTCAGTTCTGTCAACGCCTTGACTTTAGTCCGTGAGATCCATTTTGGTCCTCTGACCTCCAGAACTGCAAGAGAACAAATTTGTGCTGTCTTAAGCCACAGCACAGTTGTAGCAGCCATAGGAAATGAGTAAGGATCGTATCCACTAACCTAGTGACAGCAGATCACACACACCACGGCCATCTTCTCAGCAAAGCAGTCGTTGAAGAGAATAGCAAACATTACCTTGTGTGTTTAAAAGGAGAAACCACAAAGTACACGAGAGTTAGAAGGAAGAAAGGAAGGAATATTTTCCACTTAGGTTCGAACTCATTTCCCACCAGCCACAACCACAAAAGCAGGAGGTTCCTCGGGGGATGAGTTTAGTGTGCAAGTTGATTACCTTGTTCTGTCTGACCCTGGACTGCGGTCCTATAGGCCTGGGTTGTCTCCCAATTGTAGTGACACTGGCGTTCAGGGTCATGCGCAGTTCGGGGCTGGCAGAAATTTGAGGTGAGATGCAGCTGAGTCGGAACCAGGCCACCCTGGATCTTGGGAGCCGGGCAAAGTGGCTGGCATGAGGGTCCGCTGAGTGAGTGGACTGGCTGATCCCTGAGTGGCCAGGACTCCAGGGCCCAGGTCCACCTGACCAGTACCCCCTCTAGGGATCCAATACTTCCTTCTTGTGGCCCACAAACCTGGAGGGCCAACTGACTGACAGGCAAGAGGGCAGAGTTGGCGGTTCCTCGGAAGGGCGAGAGGGGACCGCAGTGAAAGCCTGACTCGCTGGACAGCTCTTCCCCCGCGGCCCGGGCAGGGTGCGGGAGAGCGGCGTGGGCCGGGAGGGAGGGGACAGGACGTCGAGGCGGGAGGAGACGGCCCGGGGGTGGAGATAAATCGGGCGTGCGCTCCGGGCCCCACCTGCAGGGAGCGCGGAGGAGCGCGGGGGAAGCCAGCTCGCCAGCCACGTGGACAGCCAGAGGCCGGGCGCGATGGAGCCGGCGTCCGACCTGGGGCTCGGGGACTCGTCCCTGCACCGCTACCTGGACGGCGAGTTCTGGAGCCTGAAACACGAGCTGAGCAGGATCCTGGGCCACTGCCCGCTGTTCCGGCACAGGTA